AAAACCGTAATGTGAGAGCAGAAAACCCCCTCTCCTTTGCAGGAAACTGAAACTGAAAGTCGAGGCCGTCTCCTGCCTGTCAATGCCCCAGCCAAGGGCTAAAAAAACTGCAGGTCAGGGGACTTCCTGGAACTTGCTATTCGTCAGGACAGCTCCTATGCTAATAAGGGGATGGCCGGTAGAAGGTTCCAGCAACCTCCCAAACTCCTCTTCAAACTCTCTGCAGCTTTCAGATTTGGATGGCACCAACTTTTTTCCACTATAGGCCAGTGCCCATGGATGACCAATTGAAGGAGGAAGGACAGGGACCCCCCAAGCTGCTGCTGTTGATAGGGATCTCTGTGCTCCTGGTGGTGGTTGTGGGTCTGGGGGTGCCCCTGATCATCTTCGCTCTCAAGGCCAACAGCAAGGCCTGCCAGGACGGCCTCCGGGCAGAGATGGAGCATCGCAATGTCACTCACCTCCTGCAGCACCAGCTGACCCGGGCCCAAGAGGGCTTCCTGCAGGCTGAGACACGGGCTGCCACCTGCAACCGCACTATGGTAAGCCACCAAAATGCCTATGGAGGGCCTAGTGCTTGGGGAGGCCTAGAAACTCTCCTGAGAAATCCCCACCGTAGGGTCTGGGAGGAGGTGGGGGAGGCCTTGAAACTGTCTCTGGGCCCCCATATCAGGAGGCCTGGATTTCCCCACCAGAGTTTGGGGACCTCTAAACTCCCTCCAGGGATCTGGTGTGGGATGAGGCCTGAAAACGTCCCATAGCACCTGTTTTAGTCTGATTTCTGTTGCTTGTAACAGAATACCTGAAACTGGGTAATTTATAAGAAAAGGAGATTTATTTCTTACAGTTTTGGAGGCTGGGAAGTCCAAGGTCCCCGGGGGCACATCTGGTGAGGGCCTTCTTCTTGGTGGGGACACTACAGAGTCCCATGGCGACACAGGTATCCCATGGCAAGGAGAATGCCTGTTAACATGCTCACTCGATCTCCTTAGAAAGCCACCAGTCCATAGCGGTGATAAGCCATTTT